TCTCTCTCTCTCTCTCTCTCTCTCTCTCTCTCTCTCTCTCTCTCTCTGAGTCTCTCTGAGTCTCTCTCTGTGTGTGTCTCTCATACAGTCATTCAGGTCTTAGAGACTTTTAGAGAACCCCCCCCATTTTAAAATAAAAGCCGCACACACATGATTTAGAGATATACGTGATGCAGCTCAGCCAATCAAATATGGGTATTCTGATAAGTTTCCTGATACGAGTGACATTTACACACACCGCGACACAAGAGGGAGAGACGAGGAAAGACATGGCAGAGCTGGACAATAGTTATGTAAGCTGTAAAAGATAAAACATAGGACAATCTCCAAATGAGAAAGATTGCCAGAGAGATCAGAGTCTCTCTCTCTCACTCACTGACTCACTCACTCACTCATCCTCTCTCTCTCTGTGTCTCTCTCTCATACAGTCATTCAGGTCTTAGAGATTTTAAGAGGACTCCCCCCCACACACACCCCATTTTAAAGTAAAGGCCCCACAAAATGAATTCTAACTGAAATGCTTGTGATGAAGCCTGTCATTTAATAACCTCTGTTTATGTGTGTCAAACATTAAGATTATGTCTCGTCTCCCCCTCTCTCCCCCACCCAGTCCCACCCTTTCAAAATAAAAGCCTCATGGATTAACTGTATTTAAACGTTAAGCTCAAAATTAGGCTTTTTTGTTGAAATAATGAATGCTCTTACTAATACTGCGACAACTACTGCTACTAATATTTCTAGTATCACTACTACTACTACTGCTACTACTACTACTTCTACTGCAACTTTTGCTGTTGCTACTATTACTACTTCTACTACTACTACTGATACCATCACTATTATTACTACCACTACTGCTATTACTACCACTACCACTACTATTATTACTTATACCACAACTGCTACTACTGCTATTCCTGCTACTACTACAGCTATTAGTACGACTGCTACTAGTACTACTACTACTACTACTACTACTACTACTGCTACTTCAAAAACTGACTTTACTATTACTACTACTTATTCTACTACTACTACTGTTATATTAAATACTACGACCACTACTACAGCTATTACTACGCCTACTGATACTACTTCTTCTAATTACGAATACTTCGACTACAACTTCTACTACTACTGCTACTACAAATATCACTACTGCTACAACTCGTACTTATTCAAATGCTACTAATACTTCTACTGCTAATAATACTTCTACAACAACTACTTCTACTACTACTACAATAAATATCCCTACCACTGAAATTTTTTTAAGCTACAGAAACCGTTCGAATATATCAAAATGTTCAGCTCTTTCAGGAGAGGGGTGATGTGACTTCATATTTGTAATCTTTCAACTTTTTGAATTATTAAGCTTTTTGCAATTTTTTTTAAATTGGATATCTATTTTCAGCAATGTTTTTGCGATTCATTTCAGCTTTCAGCATTCCAACGCATTTTCAGCAGAAAATGCATTTTCTAGTTCATAAAGCATAAGAGATAGAAATATGAAAAGTCATAGCAGAAATGTCATTAAAGAGCTGAACATTTTGATAGTTGAACGGTTTCTGTAGCCTAAAAAATGAAGAAGAAGAAGAGGTGGGACGGAAGAAATATAAGAAGAAGAATAAAGAGAAACAGGATAACAATAGTTGGAATGCTTAACAGCATTCCAACAATTAACTGGGTTTAGCTAGACACCTAAAGTAAGCTACCAGTAAGACAGATATGCTGGCAACTGTAAATGTGTCCCCGACCCCTAGACAGAAACACATGATTCATTCATCAGTCTGCCCGTAGAATGCTGAATAACCACTAGGGAGGATTGTTCTGGCCAGGCATGAGTGCTGACATGGTCAGAATCTATAGTAAATATGCAGAGCTCTGAAACAGCCTACCCAAACCGCCGTTCAGATGAACAGAAATCCCATTGTTACCATTTGAGGAAGTGGCTTCAGTTTCAAGCAAAGCAGTGCTGAAAATACAGAAGTATTGTAGAACTGGAAGAAAAGGTTTCTGGACTGCATAACCTAAAGATGCTGAATACATTGCTATGAAAAATCTAAAAACTGCAATACTCTGCAATACTGCCCACAGATGGAAGTTGAAATGAATTCACTGATAAGGCTGAAAGAAGAAATGGTTTGTACATTAAAAGGTAGAAAAGGTAGAAAAAAGTTGAACACAAGCTGAAAGTTGAGATGGATTGGGAGAAGAAATTAAATGTAATAATAAAATGAACAGAAGAAATTTTAATAGCTGAAGAAAAAAAGACTTGGACCACAATAGTGCGGAATCTGCATTTACAAAATTAGCCAGTTGTCATTCAGTGTCCTATCTGAGTCTTTTATAAAAATCAGAGATCATCCTTGGGTCTTTGCACACCTGTTTTCTGACCCAAAGTTAGAGTTCTCTGTGTAGCATTAAAGTCACCATATTGTCTACACACCTATAAACTCCATGTCATGGTGGGTACGGACATGAGTCACAGTGATATGGGCAGAGTGTGTTCTTACTGATAGGATCTGACCCGTTAAAACTTTTTCAAAAGATCACTGGTGAGCTGGTATAGGACAATAAAACAATTCAAAACATTTGATATGTTAGCGGCATGGCTCTAGGGATGGCAATGTCTGTCTGTTGCTTGATCTACCATTTAGGTTCAGACCATGGACTGTATATGAGAAGTTACCCATTGGTTTGTGGACTGCGGTTTTGAAGCCTCTAGTTTGACATTTTGGCCGTCGTCATCTTTGTTTTTTTCACGGAAGTGACCGTTTTTGGACAGCTTGGGAGAGACATAAAGACATTCAATCATGCTGTATTGAAGAAGACATGAAACTAGTGATTGAGACCATAAACTCATGTTCACAATGTTTACTGAGGTAATAAATGAAATAAGAAGCAGGGTCATTTTCTGATTGACTTCAATACAATCAGACTTCTTTTTGCAACCGAAAGAGAAAGAGAAGAGAATGCAAGTTTAAGGCTAATAGTAAGGACTTTAGTTATCCCTTCATTTTCGACTAGCTCCATCATCAGGTCCAAATTATAATTTGTCCAATACTATATTTAGTGACCAAATACCTACAAAACTAATGATATTTCCATCACCCCCAGCTATATTCAGGTCTAATGTATTTTGTGCTAATTAGCTATTGTTAAATGGTTAAATTCTGCCTTTTGTCTTTGCTGATACTGCAAGCCCTTTAAGGTAGTCTTTCTGTTAGCTTCCTTCTCTAGCTCAACATGCTTCGTGAGCATTTCCCTATTTCTTGGACTAATGTTGATAAATGGTCCATGGGAGTCTAGAGTGGAGCCCTTAAAATGGTAATAAGTAATACTTTCTACCCCTTTATAGCATATTATGACCATGATGCATGTGTAGACCTTATTAGGTGTGTTGATCAATGCCAGGGCCTAGGCCAGGCGCTAACGTCTCTTAATTTCAACATATTCTACCTCTTAGCATTTATAGCTGCTCCAAGATGGAGGATGAGCAGTGTCATAATACATTTCCACTTCAAAGCTGAAACAGATGTTTTGTAGACTGACAACCAGATGACAAAGAGGACCATTAAACAGTTTAATCATAGCTTATTACTTATTTTAGAACATGTGGATTTAACTACCTCTAGTCTCACAGCTGCTCATATTAGGTAAGGCCCGCCCTCTTGAGATTGACAACCAATCAAAACAACCTGTTACAGTAAATGGTAAATGGACTTCTACTTGTTTCTGGTTGAGATTGGGCTTGAGACCTGCTTAGCCTATGCCTTGAAAACAATAGGGGAGGAAGGCGGCGATGTCTGTCTATCGATCTCCTCAACTGCATTTCGGTAGCAAGGACAGCGACGCCCGGACACGCCACACACAACAGCGCTATCCATATGAGAAAAACTCATAATAGTTCATGTTAATGCATAATGAATAATGATATAACTCACAAATCTAATGTGCACTTTCGTCAAACATTTATATGATCCTTATTTAATGTTCTTTTGGGGATTTTTGGGGTAATGCATATACTATTAAATAACTAAATGAATAAAACCTGATGCTGGAGCTGATCCAGCTGATATTGGGCGAAGGCAGGATACAGTGAAAGACAATCTTACGATACTTGTGCCACATTTCTTTTGTTTAATGAAAGTACTGAACATTTCTCTTTCCCATCTTGCAATGTTAAGAAATCCTTTGAAAAATCCCTGGATTGACTGTGTTTTGTATTTGTTGTTGATTCACAGATTTAGATGAGTGCCAGCTACAGGGTGTGTGTCCTAATGGAAACTGTCTGAACACCGTGGGCAGCTACAGGTGCATGTGTAAACCCGGCTATGTCCCTGACCCCACACTCACCACTTGCATATGTAAGTCCTACAATATAAGATTTCTTTCTATCATCACTTTCTCATTGATTAACATCCAAACCTAGAGCCTCCAACAGTTCAGTATCAGACTGAGCAAAAATCTTATATTAACAGAAATGAAACTATTACATTTGCATGCTGGTCTCTGATGTGCAGATTTGCTCATACAAAAGCTTCCCCATGAGTTTGATATTCACCATCACTTAATGACAGAGACATGGGAAATATGAGTTTAATTTCTTCCGTCTACCATCTGCTCCAAAGTACAAGCATAGCAAGGGCTGCTAGGAATGCTGCTAAAGCTGAAATATGTGTCTGATAATATGCATTTAAAACAGTGCATGGATGAAAGCATGGTGTTCATTGTATAATCAGAGTCCCCCTCAAGCATGTACTACAAGGCAGATCATGAAGTCAAACCCAACATGTCTCATGGCTCTTATATAATGAGGGGAGAGAGAAAGAGATACAGCATATCACCGGGGAAACAGAGAGAACAAATAGTTCTAAAAGGAACTGCTAATGCACAAGTGCCAAAGTGATCAATCTTCAACATGATTGAGTAGCGTTAATTAGCAGTTTTAGTCATCAATTATCCTTAATTGTCATGCTGTGAGCATGTGTTCTCCTGGTTTTGCAGTGCTGTGAGTTTCCATGCTTACGTGTGTGTGTGTGTGTGTGTGTGTGTGTGTGTGTGTGTGTGTGTGTGTGTGTGTGTGTGTGTGTGTGTGTGTGTGTGTGTGTGTGTGTGTGTGTGTGTGTGTGTGTGTGTGTGTGATAAAGTGGTTGGGGGATGGGTTCTGTGTCCTCTTTTATCTCATATCTAATGAAAGGCAAGTGTCCATTCATTGTGATTAGCGATTTAATTGTCCTTTACTGTCCATTTTAAACCACAGTTATAGTATAAGCCCAAAACCGTATTTTTCTCAAATATAGCCAGTAGTCGAATAATTGCCAGGTTGTGGGAAAAAACAACTGCTGGTGCTTGTTTTATAATATGCACGCTAAGCATAACATACATTTCCATCACTTTAATTTAATACATTCAACAGTATAATTATGCTATTTTCCACACTTTGTTGTTGTGGTTAAGTGTTACTATCATATTAATCTGGGTTTAAACATACAGATGTCAAGCAGCAAATGTTTTCTTCCTGACATTAGAACCTTGTGCACAGGTTTATTTGCCTCAACCCAGCTGATAAATATGCACCTAATTGGCATGCTATTTTTTGTGATATTTCTAAAATTGACTTAATATGTTCTTGATTCTGGAATATTAGTGATTACAGTATGCAAAATGCAACAGACCTACTTGTGACTTTTGCTAATCATGAAGATCCGTGCTTTAACTCTCCATTCATTTTTTGCCACTTATCTGACTCCATGCTGTAGTCGAAGCAGTCATGTCAATGGAATTGGTGCAATCTTAGACTCACTTATGGGGGTGAAGTAAAGCCATTCAAATCTTTTGCCTGAATTTCACTGTCTTTACACTGCTGACATTTGAGAGAACGGAGCGCTGAAAGGTCCAAAATGAAGGCCGTTATCACATTATCTATGTTGCACCATCCATTTTTAATGAGTAGCCCGATCAGTAGTTTTATCTCACCAAGTATCCAGCACCAACCTTTTTTGCTAGGACACATGGATGAACATTGCTGTGCCACTTTCTGGTATCCCATCTAAGCCATGCCTTGCGCTACACTGATGGCTTCAACACATGAATGGCTGTACTGGCAACGAGTAAGAAAATACCATTTTTAAATGCCTTGCTGTGCTGAATTATCAGTACCCTTGTGAAAGGCTTGTAACTGAATCTCTTTAGTTTGAAGTTTTGTTAAATTCTTACGTTTCTGTTCATACTTTCACGTATTAGCCTTAAACAAACTGCTTCACATTAAAAACTACTGGCAAACCATCAGGACACCTTTATTCAGAAACGCTGCAAGTTATTTGTCAAAGAGTTAGAGGAACACTGTTTGTGTAACTACGTAAAAATATAAAAATGGGCTTCTTGCCACAGCTTGAGTGAGCTGTTAGATGAGATCTACAGGCAACAGGCTCTTACTCAGGTTTGTGTGAACCAGCACAACTCCAACATATCGACAAGTAAACACCTTTTATCTTGCCATGTTGTCCAGTGGAAAACCGTGTTGTGGCAGCTCAACTTGAATGGTGTCAGTTGATCATGGCTCAGCTTGACGTGAACATCCTTCCACCATGCTTGAAATGGACCAGATCTTATGACATTTTTGTAATTGTCATAAGACCTCAAAGGCAGAGCAAAACGTCTGCCGTCATAGTGTCCTCCTACCTCTCGGTCTCTCTCCAAGATTCCTGAATAACAGAGCACTCTTTGGATCTCTCATTAAAGGAATTCATGGTACAGCACCAAATGTTGTATAGAAGATAGTTGACCGCAGTAGTTGTGTTCAGAATTTATTTTAAAGAACTCAAGAGAGTAGTTTAAATCGGTCTACTTTCTCGCCGTGAAAGTACAGTCACTACCTATTGTTGGATTTCTTTTAGTTTTGAAAATTGTCGAATGCAGCCCTTGTTGTCAACTGTGGCTTAGTGGAGAGCAGTCGTCCTTCAATCAAAGGATCGGCGGTTCGATCCCCGGCTCTGCTGGTCACATGTTGGTGGGCATGTTAGCCCCTGCCATCAGTGTATGAATGGGTGAAATAGTGAGAAAGAGCGAGTGGTACAAGTCCAGTTACCATTACCTTATGATTTACCATTACCTTATGATTCCGACATTGGAAAAGTGTGATGGAGGTGGTCTTTTTAACCCTAACCCTATTTTTAGGTCTCTGCTCGAAAATTGCATACCCATACTAAAAAGAGTGTATTTCTGCAACTACAGTTCCAGTTAGAGACTGCAGATGGAACAGATGCCTGCTGCCTTCAAATGGTGGTAAAGAGAGTCCTCAGTGTGAAGGAAAAATCAGCATTATCATGTTGTAGATTATTGTTGCTGTCGCAACATTAAATCACATAAATGATGTAACTAATTCATGTTTGTGATCATGCAGCTATAACATGGTTTCAACAGCATATACCATCTCAGGAATCCATTTCATCAGATGTTGTCAAAAGAAATAGAGCTATTTATTTGCTTTTAGTTTTTAGTTGTGCTGATGGTGAGTGTTGGCTTCCTTTCCCTGTCACTGCTCACTACTTTTTAAGTGAACTCTGGGTGATTCATCAGCATCATTCAGGCCATGATGTCTGTCATTGACAAGATTATCCACTTGGCTTTTCATTCATATTCTCTTTAAAATTGAGAAATTGGCTGCTAAACTTTTAAAGCAAAACTAGAGGTTGAGGAGTTTTGACCCTGTCCCCTGCAGTGGATAATGCCACAGATTGATACTTGTAAAGTTAGCAGCCCTGTTGTTACCTAGCTAGCTCCCCACTAGTGATCGTTTGCCTGCATGCATGACTTGCTGGCTAGCCAGCTGTCTCCCCTCCCGTCTCCCTTCCTGTCTCTTCAGCGAAGAGGTGTGGCCAGGACCTGCTGCCGTCTCTTTCCTTGTACACACACAGACTACTGTTTGTGATTGTGCTTTTTAAAATTACGTAACTTTGTCAGGTGTGTAAACATAGAATAGAGCAAGTGCAAAAAGCAGACACACACAAGCAGACAGACAGACAGACAGAGAGAGAGACAGAGATTAGCTCTAGAGAAAACAGCAGAAGATCAGAATTATGTGTTGACCGGCGCAGAGAACAGCCATTCTTCTGCTTGGGCAACAGTTGACAGCGTGGCTTTTTTTTACGCTAAAATGCCAGACTGGCTGGTAGCCTGCTGCTTAGGATATATCTTTGGATAGGGCTAAGCCAGCTGTTTGCTCCGCCTTCAGTCGTTATGCTAAGCTAGGTTAACCAGCCTGAATAACTCACAGAACCACTGTATGTGTGTTTAAGTATGTACCCATTTGCTTAACTTCTCAAATAATGAACCTACTTGAGAATCCTTTCTTTCTGTTACGTTAGCATTGATACAGCATTTACAATATAAGCTGAATTAACTGAATTAGAAAACTATGTGTTTGGTCGTGTGTCTGCTAATGTGTGTCTGTCTGTCTGTCTGTCTGTCCAAGGCTAATCTTGCATACTTGCTGGATCCATTAGTCTAATATTGATTTGTGCTCATTTATGACTGCAATCTAAAGAAGCTCTCATAGTTTGCGTTGATTCACACTTTTGAAAAATACATTTTATTGATTGTTTTCAATAAAATACTCCTCAATATCCAAGAAGTTCCTGTGTCTTGCTTCCCAACTGAAGTGCAAGCCTGCACAGAGCTGGTGCAGACGACTAAATAACAATGAGAAGAACCAGTTGCGTGAGGTTCCCAAAGAAAAACACCTATGAGATGGGATGTTAGACAAGTCGTTTGTATTCATTCAATCAAACATTACAGCAGTGCTCGTTACAGAGACACCTGGTGGGGGTCTGCACTCTTCTGAGTACTCAGGCCATACAACTTGAAAAACACAAACTGAGCCAAACTCTCCTGCATGCCTTCAATCTCAGGCAGCGCTTGACTTTGATAGTGCATGAAGCATTAGCATGAAAGGGATCTTTTCCTACAACATGTCTGTGCTTTGAATGTGTTTCTGTGTTTTGTGTTTGGCTTAAATTGTTTGAATGTAGTTGTTTGTGCCACCACAAAATGTGGTTGTCCGACTTCTGTATTATAACATGTATTTTTTCTCTATGCACTAGTGTTGCTTTAGAAATATGTTTGTTTGTGGCAAAAGTATGTTCAGGTAAGAAGGGAAGGTTGCTTTGGTGAAGGGGACCTCTTTATTTCTCCACTCTCTGTTCTCTCTTTCCCCCATGTATGTGTCTCCTACACTCTGGTGCACTACTCCCACCTTCTAAACTCTGCTTTAGCCAACACGCCTGCCATCCAAGAGGAGAAGGGGGCTTGCTTCCGTTTGGTCAGCTCAGGGAGGCAATGTTTGCACCCAGTATCTACCCAGCTGAGCAAACAGCTCTGCTGCTGCAGTGTGGGTAAAGCCTGGGGCCCTCGTTGTGACAAATGCCCCCCTCCAGGAACAGGTAAGGTCAAGTCAGATAGTTATCCTGTCTTAATAAGAACTAGCTAACCCAAACCAAACTTACCATAACTAAACTGATTTAACTCTTTCCGAACAAAGTTCACATAAGTGAAATATTTCAACATCTACTAGATTGATTGGCATTAAATATTGCACAGCTACCCATGGTTCCAAAATGATGTATACTAATGACTTTGATGATCCCCTGACTTCATCTAAAGCTACCACAAGGTGGAAATTTTTGGTATTGAAGGAAATATTTTTGACAGATATTGAAAGGTCAATCAAATATGTTACAGCTAGTAATGCTCCCCTTATGGTTGAATTGTAATCAATTAGTTTATCTGACTTTTCATCTCACCATCATATGGTCAAAATGGTAATTTGTACAATACTTTGCTGTATGACCAAATATCTGCCTAACTAATGACATTCCCATCAGCTTCAGCTGTACTTTTTGTTTGTTCCTTACTGTATTATATAGTCAGATATGTATTGAACTGCATATCTGATGTTTTAATACAGTACATTGTCCATTGCCCCCAGTAACCCTGCAAGGGTGAAGAGCTGGCCTACTCTTCCATGGCCTGGACGGAATCCACATTGCTCTTCCTGGATCTGAGGTCTAATAATCAGTCAGATAGTCATAGCGTCCTTTCTAGCATCCTGGAGTAAACTTTTCCTGGAAGACTCAGCAATGTGATAATAAAGTGCTCAGATAATTGGAGCACATTATCTCAACCCCTTTTTTATAAATAGAAACCACCACCCTGGTATGCCACTCCACTCCACCGGCACCGTCCTTACCCTTCACTCACACTACAGCCAAGACAGCCCAACAGTGTTTGGATACTTCTCACGGCAAATCTCATCCACACCTGATTCCGAGCTGCTGAGTAGCTTTTTGACTACCTCAGACACTTTTCTAGGGATATACTGTAGGTTAGGCTTTCCCTGAGTCTTTCAACTCTTCCTCCTCCACAGAGGACATGTCAATCGAGTTCAAGAGATCCTCAAAGTGCTCTTTTCACCGCTAGACAATATCCTCAGTAAGGGTGAGCAGTTCTCTAATGGTTTAGAACCAGAACTTCCTTGAGGCCAACCAAAAGTCCTTTTCCATAGCCACACCAAACCACTCCCACAGTACATTTGGTCCCCTGGAACCTGTAGTGTTATGTAAAAAATGAGTATAAGAGGCTGTAACTTTGTTAGCCAAACATTAGCATAACACTGAATACTGAGACTGAATATGATAAGTTGTTTCCCCGGCACATACACAGCTGTAAGGTTGTAACGCATCATACACTGCACTTCATACCCATGTCACATCATTTTTTGAATAGGTTGTTCAGGGGTTTGGTGACCTCAGACAGGTTTGTCAGGTACCTACCTAAATAGTGTATTATACCCAGGATCCTTCTCAGATCAGTGACATTGTTTGGTGGCTCAAGCTGAGTGACGGCCTTGACCTCATCTGGCCAAATGCCATGCTCATCTATACAGTGTCCAAAATAGTTAAGTCTTCGCTGACGCAAGAGAAATTTGTCGCGGTTCAGCTTTAAACCAGCTTTCTCCAGTGTGTCCAGAGTCTTTTGGAGCTTCACCTCGTGGACCTCTTCAGAGTCTGAAAAATTACAGATGTCGTCCATTTAAAATGCAAGGACTTCGTGATCTTTCAAGAGCTCAGTCATTTCACACTGAAAGATTTCCAGTGCACTTGTTATTCCAAATGGCTCTATTAAAGAAATATCTTCCAAAGGGAGTTACGAAGGTAGTACGTTTGGCACTCTCTCTGTCTAGTGGTATCTGCCAGAAACCACCTGCTGCGTCCAAAAGGGAAAACACATTTTTCTGCCGGCGAGTTTAGATAGGATATCATCTATGGTGGACAGAATAAACTTCGCTCTCTTTACTGCCTTATTCAGGCGTTTTAGTTCAACGCTTATCCTTGGCTGATCTTCGTTCTTCTTGGGCACAGCAACTATCGGAGCACACCACTCCGTGGGCTCTTTCATTGGCTCTGATCACGCTACCGTGCGGTCCAGCTCCTTTTTTACTTTAGGGAGCATAGGCACTGACACACGCCTTGCAGTAGTCACACTGTAGGGTACAGTGTCCTCCTGCAGTCTGATTTTGATTGGCTTTATCTTCAACCTGCCTAAATCTGCTGGGCTGGCAACACTTAACTGCTTTGTGCTTTTGATCTCTTTTATTCGCTTGACTAAGCCCATAGCAATAGCTACATTAGGGCTCAGCAGGTTGCTGCCATTTGACCCCTTTATCACGTTTACTTTAAACCTGAACTTTTGCTTTTTCCACACACTAGTAACTGTGAAGTAACCCTTACAGTTCACTCTTACCCCAGGCCTGCCTAATTTGGTCACGCCAGTTTTCAGTCGTGCCTTATTTCTCAGCAGGTTAAAAGTATTTTCTGAAATGACACTTGTATCTGCCCCGTGTCAATTTTAAAGTCTATTTCAATATCTTGCACAGGCCGTTTTACCGCCCATGCCTTGTTTAAGTTGTCCACGTCTGTAATTTCTCCCATGAAATGAACGTGCCTCTTCTCCCTGCTGTGACCTTTTTGACCACGCGTGAGCGGCATACTGCTGCAAAATCTCCCAGCTTTTTACACTTATGGCATTTCACATTGCGTGCAGCACATCTGTCCTCTTTAGCATGCACCCTACCACATCTGGAACATTTGGGTCCCTTATTGTTAACATCTTGCCCTTGTTTTGCCCTGGCCCCACTTCGCCCTAACTGTATTGCGCATGCTGCTTGTATCCTACTTCATATTCACCTTCGGTACGAAATAACTGTCACCATTACAGTCTCATAATCATTTGCATCTTCATTGTCATCTTCCGAAAACGTGAACGTTTTGAAAACTTGTTCAGCTTCCTTCCCCATTGAGTAGAGAAGCGTATGCACCTGTACTTCTCCAGTTTCTTTATTAAGTTTTGTTACTATCTTGAAGCGATGAAACCTCTGATGCCATTCTGGCCATTGATCCAGGCGAGAAAAGTCAAAGTTTTCAGGAGGTGGGAACTTGGCAATCTTCTGACACCATGTAGTGTTATGTAGAAAATGAGTATAAGAGGCAGTTGTATCTTTGGCTAAGTTTATTAGCCAAACATTAGCATAACACTGAATACTGAGACTGACTGGATTTCCACCCCAGGTGTGGACTATACACGCCCCGCCTGACACACGTTCTAAGATTACTGCCTTTGACCTTCTGACCAAAACTCCTTCCAGCTGCCTCCACATCAGAGGTTTTGAACATGGCCCACTCAGTTGTCCCCAACGTCCCCTCGGGACGCTCAAAAATAAGTCTTTCAGTGGTGGGAGCAGGTCTGTCCGGAAGCTTATTATTATTCATTATGATTGGATTTCATATGTTGTATAGAACCTTGTGGAACCCCATGACTACCTTTGGTGTGCATGGAGGATTTGTGGTTTACATATACAAACTGTTATTGATCTCTGTTATAGGATGTGATCATCAATGGTGTCGAAATGGTGTTGAACTATATAATATAGTTTTGTGGCAACATGGCATATCTATATATCTATATATATATATCTATATCTATATCTATCTATATCTATCTATATATATATATATCTATATATATATATCTATCTCTATCTCTATATCTCTATATATATCTATATCTATATCTATATATATCTCTATATCTATATATATCTATATCTATATCTATATCTATATATATCTATATCTATATATATCTATCTATATATATCTCTATATATATATATATCTCTATATATATATATCTCTATATATATATATATCTCTATATATATATATCTATATATATACATATCTATATATATACATATCTATATATATACATCTATATCTATATATATCTATCTATCTATCTATCTATCTATCTATCTATCTATCTATCTATTCATCTATTCATCTATTCATCTATTCATCTATTCATCTATCTATTCATCTATCTATCATCTATCTATCATCTATCTATCATCTATCTATCA